TTTAATGCTATTCTTTGGTTGGAACTTCTATACTTTAATGTTATCTACTTCTACGCTTCAGTTTTTCACAGTTTCGAAAGGTATAATAAAATTAAACACATGTCCTTGAGAATTCTAGGTAATCTTTTTTGAAGTATCACTCAGTATTACCCACCTTATACTGCGAATCAATATTCAAAAACGGTGGCTCCAGCTGGCAATCATTTTTTGAACGGCAAAGCCTCCTGAAGATATCCACGGCATTCGTCAACTCGGAGGCGTTCAGTTTTGAGATTTGCGAGGAGAGGATCTTTCTATTTTGAGGGGAGAGGGAGAAGATGGAGACGATGTTCTCCTAAAGGTAAAGTTGGTATATTTAAGGGCTTCTTAAAAGAATTTTAGGTAAAATGGGACCCACCACGAAAACCTCAGCTGGGGTCCATCCACTTGAAGATAATTCGTAGGGGTCGAAAGTTCGGGGGAGGATCAGCGGATGACCTTGCTGGAAGTAAAAAAATATCTGGCTCTCTGTCTGTCTCTGTCTCTGTCTCTCTGCCTCTCTCTGTCTCTCTCTCTCTCCCTCTCGCTCTTTCTGTCTATTTGTCTCTCGCTCTCCGAATTCCGCAAAAAACGCTGCTTGTTTGCCTTTTATGACCCTTGATGATTCAATGAACTTGGAAGCCAAAATGGGTTTGAAAAAGAGCGAGAGAAAAAGGGAGTGAGAGATGAGGAGGAGGAGGAGGAGAGAGAGAGAGAGAAAGCGATAGGAAGGGAAAGTGTTTTACCATATTTCCACTTACCAACTGATACGGGTACTGATTTTGACGTCCGAAAATATAATAGAAAAATAGCAGTCCAACGAACAGGCCATAGACAAAACTCAGATAATAATTGTTGCGCAAACTATTGAATTGAAAAAGCGATTGGGCGTTTGTGCGGCCCATTTCTAAATCGGGGATCGGCACCAAAAATCGCCACCACCAGGGCTACGGAAAGCACCGAAATAACGACTGGTTTAATAGGGGCGAGGAAGGAGGTGTTCCGCGGAAAATGAGCCCCCCTGGAATGGGGGGATGAAAAGATCTGAGGGCTGGACTCGATTACGATCAAATATATAGGCCAAAAAGGATGGGGGTTTGGAGGAGAGGGGAGGCAGACTGGTATATGCCGGCGCGAGAGGAGCTGCAGAAATGGGTGGTCATTTTAAAGAGATTGTGAAGGGTGGATTTTTTTATTTTTTTTTGACAAATCAGCGAGGCTTTGATGCAGCCCAGGATGGCATTGGTGGGGGGTTTCTTGTATTTTTGAGCGAAGTTACAGGGTGTCCCAGAAAACCCCCCTACCTAGCGGTCCGCAGTCGTGTCCGATTTTTACGATTTAAGTATCTATCGAAAGCTCTCAAAAAGGGGAGTCGAGCACACTACCCCGCTTCTCAAAATGTTGAAATGTTTCGGACATCAACTATAATAAAAAGGTAGGGGTGTCTGTCCGTCCGTCTGAAGCCGAATTCAACTCGAAGGGGAAAGGAGCTAGAGCTTAGGTCTCTTCGGATTCGGATAGAGCGTGGTCAGAAACCCCCATACTGATTAAAAAATTATAAAAAAGTTTTGATTTAAATTATTAAAATTAACTTTGAAAGTTTTTCCCTTAGTAAAAGGGGTGGGGGACGGAGGTTGGGGTGATTTTGGACATAGTGAGCCAGGTCGCGCGCGTTTCGTGGATGAAAATTTTCACCGGGGGATTTCATTTCTTTTTTCTCTAATTCCATCCGGTCGGTCGTTATTTTCGTTTTTTAAAAGGATTTCGGCTAGGGGAGGTATTTAGGTAGTTTTTGAAGGGATTTCAGCCATGGGGGTATCTGAAGCCATCGGGAAGGCATTTAGGTAGTTTTTGAAGGGGATTTCAGCCATGGGGGGTATCTAAAGCCACTCAGGAAGGTATTTAGGTAGTTTTGAAGGATTTCAGCCAGGGGGGTATCTACATCAGGAAGGTATTTAGGTAGTTTTTGAAGGGGATTTCAGCCATAGGGGGTATCTGAAGCCATCAGGAAGGTATTTAGGTAGTTTTTGAAGGGGATTTCAGCCATGGGGGGTATCTGAAGCCATCAGGAAGGTATTTAGGTAGTTTTTGAAGGGATTTCAGCCATGGGGGGTATCTGGAAGCCATCGGGAAGGGATTTAGGTAGTTTTTGAAGGGGATTTCAGCCATGGGGGGTATCTGAAGCCATCAGGAAGGTATTTAGGTAGTTTTTGAAGGGGATTTCAGCCATGGGGGTATCTGAAGCCATCAGGAAGGTATTTAGGTAGTTTTTGAAGGGGATTTCAGCCATGGGGGGTATCTGAAGCCATCAGGAAGGTATTTAGGTAGTTTTTGAAGGGGATTTCAGCCATGGGGGTATCTGAAGCCATCGGGAACGGATTTAGGTAGTTTTTGAAGGGATTTCAGCCATGGGGGGTATCTGAAGCCATCAGGGAGGTATTTAGGTAGTTTTTGAAGGGGATTTCAGCCATGGGGGGTATCTGAAGCCATCAGGGAGGTATTTAGGTAGTTTTTGAAGGGGATTTCAGCCATGGGGGGTATCTGAAGCCATCGGGAAGGTATTTAGGTAGTTTTTGAAGGGGATTTCAGCCATGGGGGGTATCTGAAGCCATCAGGGAGGTATTTAGGTAGTTTTTGAAGGGGATTTCAGCCATGGGGGTATCTGAAGCCATCAGGAAGGTATTTAGGTAGTTTTTGAAGGGGATTTCAGCCATGGGGGGTATCTGAAGCCATCAGGAAGGTATTTAGGTAGTTTTTGAAGGGGATTTCAGCCATGGGGGTATCTGAAGCCATCGGGAAGGGATTTAGGTAGTTTTTGAAGGGATTTCAGCCATGGGGGGTATCTGAAGCCATCAGGAAGGTATTTAGGTAGTTTTTGAAGGGGATTTCAGCCATGGGGGGTATCTGAAGCCATCGGGAAGGGATTTAGGTAGTTTTTGAAGGGGATTTCAGCCATGGGGGGTATCTGAAGCCATCAGGGAGGTATTTTGGTAGATTTTTAACGGAATTTCGACCCGGAGGGGTATCTGAAGCCATCGGGAAGGTAGCTATGTTTTTGTGGGGGGGGTTGGCTAGAGGAGGTATCTGAAGCCATCAGTGTAGTTATTGCCATGAAGGCATCAGCGTAAGGTAGGGATTAAATGTGGTGGTGTAGAATATGGAGGGTGGCCCGAAGTCCAGCCGATTGCAGTCGCGAAGCGGCTGTAATCGGCTGGTTTACTAATATTTTTTGCGGCAAGTGCGGATTTTCTGATGCTTTTCTGAACAAAGGTTTTCCTAAAAATCAGAATTTATGGATTTTTATGCTTTTCCTGGCAGCCCAACGACAGCTTTTTGAAGGCCATTTACAAAACCACAGATTGGATAGCGCAAAAACCGGTTTTAATTAAGTTTTTGACGAAAAAGCGTGACATTTGAGTGAAAAAGGCCGAAAATCGAGCAAAAAAAATTCCGACATTGAAAAAATCGGCAAGCCCTGCTGGACTCGCCTTTTCAAGAGCTTTCGATAGATGCCTAAATCGTAAAAATCGGACTTGACTGCGGACCGCTAGGTAGGGCGGTTTAGGGGGGTTTAGGGGGGTTCGGGAGGTCTACGGTAGACGCTACAATGATCGCAATCCGCTACTCATTTCATTCGCCAGGGCGGTTTTTTTGAAGCCCCTTCCTCCAGGATTCCCAGACTTTCCAATGTGCAATTCATAGCAGCCAGAAACCAAGCCCGGAAAACACTTTATTCGCCTCCCAACATCACACACACTTCATATCCAATCACAAGCACAACACACAATTGATCATCACAATTCCGGCTAGCGGGTATTTAGTGTTGAAACCTAATTTTTGATCAGTGATTGCAAGTAAAAGGATAGATTGATGGATAGATAGATGTGTGGATGGTAGATGGATGGGGGCTTCTGAAGATGGCGGGCGGGTGGAGAGTAGATGATCATCGCAGATCGGGCTTCTTCTAGACTTGGGGCTTCTCGTTGAACGCCTTCGGGTTCTTGGAGGGCAGGAATGGGCGCTTCTCGTTGCTGTCACCTGAAAAAGCAGTGGTTTCGAAAAAAACTCAGGCTTCTCTCCCTCCGATAATGCATAAGCTCCACAAAAAGTTCCCACCATCCTGGTGCTTGTTCTCCATGCTGGACGGGCGATGCTCGATCGGCTTGTTCCGGTTCTTCTGGAGGATGACGACGCGGGTGACTAAAGGGGTGGTAAAGTGATGGCGAAGCGTATTTTCCGCAATAATCTTTGCTAGCTGGCCCTAAAAAAACCACAAAAACCCCACGCAGAGCCACGACAGCGATCACGGCCACGGTTCCGATGATGGAGCACGAGATGATCATGATGATCTGGCCACGGCGGAGGGTGCGGTCTGAAAAAACGGCGTTTTCTCACTCTCTCTCTTTCATTGGCTCTATCGCTCTCTCGCTGTCTCTACCGTACATTCGCACTCTCCTCCCGGCAGCACCCTCTTGACCTCGTGGATGGATTGGCACTCGGCGCTGCACAGGAGGGCATCTTCTCCGGTGCATTCTGGAGAAGGAATTGAGAGTTTCCGTTTCATTCCTACTTGCAAATGTGCAGATGGTCTTATTGTGCTTGTCGACGGTCATCGAGTTGATGCGCTCGAAGCCGATGCACGTGTAGTCGTCGTTGGCCGCCCAACAGGCCAGCGTGTTCTTCAGCCCCGCACACTCCTTCGCCGGCTTCAAGTCTGAAAAGGAAGAGGCGAGAATGATAGGCTTGTCTTGCTTAGCTTAGGCTTAGTACTTACTCGGCAACTCGCTGGGGTTGACGAGCTGGCAGCTGTCGTGGTCCCCGACGGACTTGATGTGCCAATAGGGCATGCAGATTTTCTTGTCGCCCTTCTCGCGGATGGAACATGGATGGTGGCCGATGGGGCAGCCTGGAAATAGGTCGATGCTTTTATGGATCAAAAACGACACCCACGATCATCGTGGCATTCCCTCGTGCGGTCGTTGAAATAGCGCAGGTCGGCGGCGCGAAACCGCGGCGTGTAGACGCGGATGCAGATTGGGTCGTACTTGCCGCAGTTGACGTGGGCGGCCGGGCAGACTGGAAAGAGGAGCGTATCGTACCTCAAAGAAGAAGCTTACCTTTGGATTCAGCCGAGGGCTCGCACGTGCCGTTGCCGTGGATGGTCTTGATGTAGGAGAAAAAGGTGCACAACGCGTCGCCGTTGGGCTGCTTGCAGGGGTAGTTGGAGGGCTCCTCGTTGCAAGCTGAATTATGGGGAATCTCGCTTCTTCCTCTTCAGTACCCGTAAGTGTGCAGATCCTCGTAGTTGAGTTGTAGCTTTTGATCTCCTCGGTTGTGACGCACAGCGACACGTTCCGCGTTCCACAGTTAACCTCCTGCTGACGTTCGCAACCTAAAGGCAATGTTTTCTATGAGTCGTTGAAGGGTTTGGTTGCGATCTCGTACGCACCCGTAAATTTCCAGGCAAGCGGAAGGTGGCCCTCGTCGAGGTTGGTGAGGGGGAAACAAGCAGTTGCGTCACCGATCGAAATCGGCCCATGGTCGGCCGGACATCCTGTAAAATAACAGGTAACTTATTGCCTCTAACCAGCGCCCAAAACCCGCTTCCGGGCCTTAGGCGCTGGAATGCGGCTTTTGCATCAAAAATTTGACTTTTCGATAGTTCGGGTCCTCCAGAGTGGTAAGCATTCGTCGAATAAGTGAAAATGCAATAATCATACCTTTGATTTTGCATCCTGTAGCGGTGACGTTGAGGACCAGGTTTGAGCGAACGCAGAATTGCTGCCCAGTTTTGCCAGGGCAAGAAAGCTCGTTGGGGCCGCACTCCGAAGATGCCGTCGGCTCCATGGCGATGAGGCTGAGCAGGCACACGGCAAGGGATAGCGATCGGACCAGCGCACACGTACCGAACATCTTTCTGGAACTAAATTTGCATAAAGATGCGAAAGTTGCATACCGTTCTCGATGAGTTCTTGGCTGAAGGGCGGCTGGACGGCGGGGGTGGCCGAGAAAGAATGAATCAACGAGACGCCTTTCGTGCCTGGTGAGCCAAGTATCCATGTAAATTAGGGTGGAAAGCCATGCTAACGAAGTGCTTCCGGTACCGGCTTACAAATTGTCTATTCAAATTATTTTTTGTGAATACCCGCTTGACGCCTTGGCGTTATCAGAGTGTTTGGCCGGGCAGCCGTACAAAGGCGGAATTCAGCCATCCGAACGTCCAACTCTGTGATCAAGGCATTTCTGTGAGTTAAGTTATTGTCAAAAATGAGCCGTTTATTCCTAATAAAGTAGATGGATTAGCAAATTCAGAGATTGGTGTTGATCATTCCTTGAATAGCGAGGCTGATGCAGGCGGAGTTCACGAGAAGCCAAAATGAACGAGAGGCTGGCGACGTTTCTGAAACGAAACAGGGTGCTAGGTGGTTCTGTAATACGGACTTTTTGGCTCGTTCTTTTCGTCGGCAGCCGGTAGCAAAGTAGCCCTGGCGGCAGCCTTGTCTTCAGCTGTGGCACGGGTGCAATTGTAGCTTCCATCTGATTGCATAAAGGACGACTTCAGATCGTCAAAGGCAATGCATTCAGTCCCTTTTGCCGTTTTGCAACTGTGCTTTGTCGGCCCACAGCCTAAAAAGTTGATTAGTTTTGCTCCTGCTCAGCTGTTAAGAAGCGGTAACTCGATCAGGGAAAATCGGCTAACACTCGCCTTCCATGATACAACCACCCAGGCTATCGTTGTAGCTCATCACAAGGTCGGGTTCGAAGCAAATTGGAGTCCAGGTACCGCAGTTGATCCGCATTTTCTGTTCGCAACCTGGAAACTGCGTTTGGTTTGGCACACAATCCCCCCCCCGCCCCAGCCACGAAAACATCGGCAATTTTCCAAAATTTTCCACCATTTGGTCAAAAATGTATCAAAAATTGCCAAAAAAGTCAAAACTTTCCAGTTTTCAAAATTTTGAAAAGATTTTTAAGAGTTGCTAGCCATCGAAAACTACTAAAAACATTATAAAAATACCTACTGCATCACCAACAGGTAGGTGGTAAAACAGAAAGTGGTTTTCCACCTGCTAAAATCCCACCCCGCTAACAGAGAAGGACCAAACAGACCAAAGTATACCAAAATGCTCGCCACAGCAAGACGAACATTTTGGTATACTTTACACACCTGTGGATGAACAGGGAACCGAGATACAAAAGTTGGGTGCCGGCTCGGGGGGTATCTGGAGTCATACCAACAGGACTTATGGCTGAGGCGCTGGGCTCAGGGTGAGCTCTGCCGCTGCCCTCTCACCCAAAATCAACCAGGGCGGGGATAACCGCCAAAAGACAAAAAGTATACGCTTACCTTCCCATAAATAGGACCCCGGGAGAGTGCCATTCACGAAATGTTTGAACGGGACGCAAAGGAAACCCTTCCCCACAAGAATCTGGCCTTCGCCCACCGGACATTCTGAAAATATGTTGCAGCCACTGAAAGGAAAACCGAGACTACCTTTGTATTGACAAACCGACCCCTTGGGATCGACCTGATTGTACTTCTTGGAGCAGATCGGGGCACCGTCTTTCCCGGGACAGGCTACCCATGAGCCCGTACAACCTGATTTTTTGAATCTATACGAACAGTTTCTAGACTGAACCTTTACACGCGTCGCTATCCTTTGGGCACACGTCTGTAGAAAGAGTCGTATTTTCGGCGCTGAGCTCGCCGGTGTAGAGGACGAGGACGAGCAAGTAGACGAACATCATGCCTCAAACCCCATGAAAATGCCAGTAAACCCTAGAACCGACCAGATGCTACGCTGCTAGACTGTAGACGGCGACAAATATTGCCTTCATATGGTAACAATTTCCGCATTCATATTACGAGAGGCCTCGAGTTGAGTTAGAAATGGCTTACTGAGAGGCCTTGAGATAGTTTCGAATTCATTTATTCAGACAAGGACCAGAAAATTCCGAGTAAACGAAGTGTCAGTATGTAGATGACGGAGTTCACGAGAAGCCAAGGGGCACGAGAGGAGCTTTTTGGCTCGGTCTTCTCCTGGGCAGCCGATGGGACAGTAGGCCTCGCAGCAGCCTTCTCCTCCGGTGTGGCACGGACGCAGTCGTATCCATTATCCTTATAGAGCAACGACTTCAGGTCGTCGTAGGCAATGCAGTCCGTCCCGTTTTCTGCTTTGCACGGGTGCGAACCAGGTGGGCAGCCTGAAATTCTGGATTTTGGCTTGTGCGTAGTCTAAAACTTCGTAGAAGCAGTCGCAAAATGTGTGCGCACCTTCTTTGATACAGCCTCCAATGCTGACGTTGTATCCCTCAAGAGAGCCGGAACTGATGCAAACCGGAAGATAGCTGCCGCAGTTGATGTAGTATTCGTAGGCGCAGCCTAAAAATGATGTGTTTCGACAGGGCTCGCTAAACTCACTCGTAACTACGTCTCTGTCCGCACGCTTAGGGCCTCAGGCAGACAGGCCGCTTACAGCCAGACAGCTAACCCCTACCGTCCCAGGTCCAAGTATCAGGCAGACTGCCGTTGGTGAGACGATTCAACGGGAGGCAATCAAGCCTTGCGCCGAAACGATCCGGCATCAGACCCATGGGGCAATCTGAACCAGGGTATTGTTTCTGTACCTCGTTCGTTTCATAGGAAATTTTTTTGTCAATAGCTTCTCTTGCCTTAAATAGATTATTGAAAGCTGTATATGGAACTTGTCGTTTATTTTTTGATGCTCTATTCAAGAGCGTTAATGGGATATTGAAAAATATCGAAAAATAGGCTCAAGTCTAGGAAACCCCCCCCCAGCCGACTTTTCAACTTTTCTACCTTCCTTATTTTTATTTTTCGCTACTTTTTTTACAGAACTGCAATGTAGTCTTACTAATTAGAATACGGCGAACATTTTGGTATACTTTAGAGCTCGCTAGCACAAAAGGGAGCCGAGATACAAAAGTTGGTGCCGGCTGGGGTTCTAGACTCTTACCGAAAAATAGCTTGCTCACCCAATTTTCGGGTTATTTTGGCTTTTATTGTAACTTTATCTTCTTCAACCCTGCGTTGCCCTAAAAGTCTGTAAAGTACACCAAAATACCAGTTCAGACGGACTCTTCAATATACGTTAAACCCCCTTGAGCGCGGAAAAGGGCAAAGATAGGAAAGTGGAAGCGAGACGCCACAGGATACGAGAATAGTTCGACTTGACTCGAAGAAAAAAAATAGCAAAAACCAGACTAACTAGATAAACTAGACGCTCGCCAGCCACCACCGCTGTTGGGAGCTTTTAAAATATAATTCAGAGAGCCAGAGTTGTCAAAAAGCGCGGAATCTTCCCCAAAAATCCAAAACCACGAACCCTTGAATGCACAGTCTGCCGATTCCGGATCGAGAAGAGAATCCTTCCTTGTGCAAATGGCGACGCCGTCTTTACCCGGGCACAACGTCCACTCCTTGATGCACTCTGAGACCGCATAGCTGTCCCCGCGTAAGAATACCTTCGCAGTCGGGGGCGTCCTTATTACACATTGCTACAGTCAGTGTCGTGTTTTGGGCGCTAAGCCCGCCAGTGTTGAGGACGAGGATGAGCAGGTAGACAAGCAGCATGGCTCGAAAATCCTGTGAATTATATTGTCAAGGGTCTAACTAACCAGCCGCTAAGCTGAAGACGCGGTAATAAAAGGAGAAAATCGCGTTCTGGATGGTAATTTTTTGTCCACTCTAATTTCAAGAATTCTGGTGTTATCCTCTGCATTGTGTGGGTAGTTACAACGCCGTTTATTCAAAGAACCATGAAAGAGCTGTGTAATAGTTGTGTTCTTATGACAAGGACGATGAAGACGGAGTTCACGAGGTACCAAGATGGGGACGAGGCTGGCGATGTTTCTGAAAGGGAATACGTGGATACCACGTAAGACTCATACAACGTACCTTTAGGCTCGGTCTTCTCCTGGGCAGCCGCTGCAGGGGTAGGCCTCGCCGCAGCCTTCTCCTCGGCTGTAGCAAGGACACACACGTCTCCTCCTTTCTTGTAGCGGGCCGACTTCAGGTCGTCGTAGGCAATGCATTCCGTTCCGTTTTCTCCTTTGCACGGGTGCGTCGCAGGAGGGCAGCCTAAAAAGGCATGTTAAGCATCGTCGATTCTCTCCAGTCTCACCAACGAAAAAAATCAGGGTAAGACTCCTGCTTATCCCCTCTTCCAGCCGGCACCCAACTTTTGTATCTCGGCTCCCTGTTCATCTACAGGTGCGTAAAGTATACCAAAATGTTCATCTTGCTCTGGCGAATATTTTGGTATGCTTTACACACCTGTAGATGAACAGGGAGCCGAGATACTGCAAGCGGGGGCCGGCTGGCGTGAGGGGGGGGGTTGTCTGGAGTTCATTAAAAATCAGTGTTATCCACCTTCGTTGATGCAACCTCCCGCGCTCGCGTTGTATGCCGTGATCACCGCGGCGTTGAGGCAAACTGGCACGTAGTTGCCGCAGTTGATGTAGTAATCATAGATGCAGCCTGTAATTTGCTCAGATGCAGCGTCGGGAGCCACAGGGCCTGCTGGGCGAGAAATAAAGCGTAGTACTTGCCGTCCCACCACCAGCGTTCGGGCAGCGTGCCGTTGGTCATGCGATTCCGCGGGAGGCAGTTGCGTTTGTCACCGACGAGACTTGGTAGTTCGCCCACCGGACAATCTGTAAACAAAATATTGGGCTGAACTCCAAATAATCCTCCAGCCGACCCCCACCTGCCGTAACTCGGCTCCCTGTGTATCCACAGGTGTGTAACGTATACTAAGCTTACTGGCGGACAAGGCGAATATTTTGGTATACTTTACACACCTGTAGAGGAACAGAGAGCCGAGATACGGTAGGTGGGGGTCGGTTGGGGGGTTATCTGGAGTCTCACCAAATATTGTGCCTAGATATCATGCCAGACCTATGAAATCGCATGTTCCGGATTCGGGATCGATGAGATATTGCTTCAGGGTGCAGAGGAGGATGCCGTCTTTTCCCGGGCACAACGTCCACTCCTTCACACAGTCTAGGACCGCATGACTGTATTCTAGTAAGGATACCGTCGCAGCCAGGGGGACCCGTATAACACATCTCTGCAGTCAGTGTCGTGTTTGCGGCGTTCAGTCCGCCGGTGTAGAGGCCGAGGACGAGCAGATAGACGAACAGCATGGCTCGAAAACCTGTGGAATTTTTTCGGCAACGACAAACCAACCAAACGTTACGCTGCTAGACTGGAGAAGACGGCAAAACTGAGTTCATATGGTAATATTTTCCGCATTCAAATTGCGAGAGACCTTGAGTCGGGGTCATACTTGGAAAATGGGAGTATTTTCGCGCTTTCGTACCAGCCCTGATTTCGACACCTTGGCCTAGTAGTAGATCAAAATGAGACCGAGAGAGAGAAAGCCAGAGAGTGAGAGCGAGAGAGAGATAGATAGAGAGACAGACAGACGAAGACAGACATGGAGATGAGATAGACAGAGCGCGAGAGAAGTGAGAGAGGAGGGAGGAGGTGAGTGAGAGAGAAAAAGGAAGAGAGAGGAGAATGAGAGAGAGAGAGAGGAAAAAAAAAGAAAGAGAAAGAGGGGTCGCTCTTCTTATATTTAGAGAAATTTTATTCAGCATTTTCATACATTAATCATCAACTTTCCGCTTCTTTTGATTCTTCCTTCGACCCCTCATCCGACCCAGATCCGAGCAGTCTTGCTTCCGGCATCTCGTATCCCAGCACCAAATAATCAAAGAAATACAGCTTCATGTATTTTCTCATCAATTCCGGTGTCGATAAAAGCTTCTGGAGCTCGGTTTTCCGCTTTTCCTTGCCAGCGGTGGCGTGTGGGGTTTTTCCAGTGGTGAGCTGATTTGTTATCTGAAATCATAGCGTAGTTATCGCAAATTTTTGGCTTCTCAATCCCCTAAAAACATTTGCTGCTAATGATATCAGACTCGAGAATCCACACTCTTCCTTTTTGACAGGGTCTTGACAGCTACGCTACACCCCCAAACACGACTACAAAAGCTCTATCTATGCCAAAATGTGCAATTTGAGCAAAAACAAGTACGAATAAAGCGTCATTTGGATGTGTAGCGTATTGTCTAGCCCTAGATAATCGGAGAAGGGTACAATTCTGCGCCTCTAGTCCCTTAAAAGGGCAAACTTACGGTATGCTATACTCTCCTCATCGACCCCAACGCCTTTAAAATATTCCGTAAGTCATCGAGCAAATTTTTTCTGGTCTTCACTAGAATATCGGATTAAGTGGTATTCCTCTAGCATTGAGCCGAATTCGCAGCGCCAAAAATCGTAATCAATTTTTTTAAATTGCCCCTGTTTAATAGTTATTTCCTGCGTTTTGGGTTTGAAATGTTGAGCGTTATCAGAAAAACCGTATTTTCTAGGCTACAGACTACAAAATTAAATTCTCCGGAATACCTACCAATTCTGGGGCATAAAATGGGCATTGACGTGTTCGTTTCATCTCGACCAGACACTAGTTTGTTGATAGTCGCCTGTGTAGTTTTGGAGTTTGTCGAGGATACACTCTAGATCCTCGCATTCTTGGCATCGAGCGCGATCTCTGAAATTAGCTGGGTTCGGCGAAAGAGAGGAGAGACAGCAAAGAAAGCGAGAAATCAGAGAGAGAGCCAGTGAGAAAGAGAGAGATAGAGAGAGAGCAAGTGAGAAAGTGAGAGAGTACGAGAGAGAGCAAGAGAGAGAGAGAGAGAGAGAGAGAGGAGAGAGAGAGCGAGGAGAGAGAGAGTAAAAGAGGCACTCACAAGCATATGTTCACATAGACAGACATAAACCGTTCTAACGGATTCCGAACCAGCGAAAATTTCTTGATATCTTCTGTCTTCTTCCTCATATATCGCGGTACTTTTGGCCAGCGATCCGCTTCATTTATGCCGAGACACGGTCTGAAAAATAGATATTTGGTGATAGAGAGAGAGAGAGAGAGAGAGAGAGAGAGAGAGAGAGAGAGAGAGATAGAGAGACAGAGAGCGAGATAGAGAGAGAGAGAGGAGGGAGAGAGAGAGAGAGAGAAAGAGTGTGTGTGAGAAGAGCGAAATGGCAAAAATACCTCAACTGTCCCATTGCGTAAAGAAATCGGTCTCCGCATTCAGACTTCGTTTTTGGTCGTGTAAATAGCACATAATAGCGGTGAGAAGCGTCGACATATTTTTGTAGATTGTACAGGCGGTTAGGTTGTAATGTGTAGAAAACTGGAAAAGTGGGAAAAATTTTGTTGTCCCCCCGATAATGACCCAGAGCATTTGCCGCCAGGTTTCAATCAAGATTCGATAAAAACCCACCCGATACTGCGACGGTATGTTCAAAAATGGTGCTGCCAATTCGCAGGCGTGCTTGGATGGGCATAACTCCTTGAAGACCTCGTAGGCATTGATCAAGGGACCGTCTTCGAAAGTCGATAATTGACGTTGGAGGGTCAATCTGTGGGCCTCGGATAGCCCGGAAATACAGCTCCAAGTCGTCGAGAAAATCGATTTCGATGGTTTTGCGCTGTTCGACAATAGTTTCATCAACTTCTGCTTCGTCTTTAGTTAAATTATCAGGGTCGGGAAGGCACTAAAAAGTGTATAAATCAAAAACTAAATTGTTTCTATTCCATTTATCGAATTGATTGCTTTTAGACAATTTATACCATTTTGGGATGGTAAAACATTTTTCGCTGCGTTAGCTTTTTAAACACGTTTAGAACCGGTTAAAACTACATTACGCGACAAATTACGCTGCATAGACACGTAATAAACACATCTAGAAATTTAGCAACGTTTTCCATACCTTAGAATCGGTTTTAAAAGTAAAATTTCTGTAATTTTTGTGGCTTAAAACCACGTCTTAGGGCAAAAATCCATTACACAGCAAATTACATAGTAGAAATACCTAATAAAAACTTTATCCAAAAATTTAGCTATGCTTTTCAGTCCCTTAATGATCAAAACCCTCAATACGCTAAATTTAAACGTAAAATTAAACAGAATACAGGTTTAAAGTAGTTTTTAACTCACCCAAGTCAGCCTAAACGCTATCGATTGACTGTAGGATTGATGGCGTGATAGTTCGACTATTAAAAAGCCTATCCCAGAAAGAAATATCCCCAATACAAAGTCCGCCCAAGAAATACCGGCATCGAACTTCGCCAAGCCAGTACATTCGCAGATTCAAATGAAACGCGAAAAAGCGAAAACGTCCCTGCGAACATGTGGGCCGCGCAGCGAAGATTTTCAATTTTTGGCTGGGGTTATTCAATAAAGTTTGCAGCATCCGCCTGACTTGCGTGTAAATTTGAAATCTGGCCGCTGTCCACAAATTGGACGCAGTGCACAGAGAAAAATTGGAGGATCGGGATTTATAACTTTTTTAAAGCCACTAGGTTGTGATGACGCTTGAACGCGTAACGTGTACGTTGCGGGGCTGGAATCACATAGCATGTCCACGGAACTCAACCCTTTTTTACTCCTTTTCTTGCGGTCGACGGCCATTTCTAGAATTTCTCCACTAGTTTTTTCAGGCATTAAGTTCAGACTTTTTCAAGATCTCGTCGATGCGTAGCGGGTGCGCTGCGGTGCTGCTGTGGCTGAATTACATCGGGTGTATGCAGATCTGAAGGTTTTCCATTTTTTCTATAAGAATTTTTCGTATTTTATTTTTTCGTATGTTATTTATTTCAATAAAAATGTCTTTACGTCGGGCAATGCATATCCTAACGCCAGATAGTCAAAGAAATACAATCGCATGTATTTTCTCCGTAAAGCCGGTGTCGATAGGAGCTTTTTGGAGCTCCGTTTTTCTCTCGCTCCCACCAGCAGTCGCATGTTTTGTTGTACCATTCGATAATTTGAAGCTGATCTGAAACCGGACTTGAGAATCCTATGGCTCTTACGTAAGAAATCTCTTCTTCTGTCACATGCACATTTCGAAAAACCTTCTCCAGGTCGGCGATCATCTTCTGGTCCTCCTCACTGCTATGGCGGATCAGCTCATATTCTACAAGCATCGTGCCGAAGTCCCAGTGCCTCAAGGTCTTTGTATAGGCTTGGCTGAGGCTTGGCTTAGCTTGGCTTAGGTTGACTCAGGCTAAGCAAGCTTGGCTTAGGCATAACTTATGCTTTTACCAACCAATTTTGCGGCAGGAAATGGGCATTGAGGTGACGCCTCGGATTCCCTTCCCCATCTCCGCTTTGCTCGAAAATCCTCTGCGGATTGGAGGAGTTTGTCGAGGATGCAATTCAGGTCAGGCATTCCATGCAGCTCTTCTCTGTGCTGAAATCGGAAAAATAAAGCAAAAAAGCCTTTTCTTACGCCTAAAATGCCTAGAAAATTAATTGAAAGGTAGGTATCTTTTGCCCCTCCCCGCTAACAGCCCAGTACCATTTAATCCAACTCACAGGCAAATATGCACATGCGCACATGAATTTTTCGAGCGGATGGCGGATCAAGGAAAACTTAGCGACCTCGGTTATGTTCAGCCCCATCAGGCCCTCGACGCTGCCCCAATCTTCGGCCTCGTTTTGGTTTCGGCAAGGCCTGAAACGTAATTAAACCTTAAATACAAAACTTTAGATACACTCAGATCGTCCCACTGGCTATAAAAATCAGCCTTTGCGTTGAGACTTCTTTTCTTGTCTTGCAAATAGCACATTATCGCAGTCCGTAGGGTGGACATGTTTTTGTAGATGGTGCACGCCGTCAGGCCAGTAGGACTTTGAAAACTTAATAGGCTAAATTTAGAGCGGTGCTGATTGGGTTTTACTATTGCTAAAAAGGACGATCTACAAATTCGTATCAAAACAAAATAGAAAAAGTTAGGGTCTTTCACCAAAAATAGCCAATTTTCATCAAATTTGAAATTTTCACGCAATTATCTACGGGTTAGTAATTCCTAAATTGTTTTGCCACCTGGCAAACAGCCAATTTCGATAAAGAGGGTATTAAAATACTTCTTATAACAAGGCTGTAATTTCTTTTTTTTATTTATTTCTTTTTATATTCTGGACTAACAAGAATCTTTGCTAGCCTGCCCGGCAAAGCTCACCCTGTATTGTGAAGGGCTTCCAAAAATGGCGGCGCCAAGCTGCGAATTTTCACTGGACAGGCATAACTCCTTGAAGGTGACGTAGGCACTGTGAAGGTAAGTCGTTTAATTTCGTTAATTGGCGTCCCCATCGTCAGCTTCTTCGGCTCGTTCAGTTGGAAAAATTCGACAATGCTGCTTAAAAACGTCCTTCTATGTTCTGGCGATGATCCTCGGAAAATTCGGTCATCCTCATCCCGGATTTGGCTCTTCTCGGTGAGCAGGAAATGCTGAAATGAACGTGGTACTGGAGTTTTAAGGAGTGTAATTTTTTACTCTTCTCATCTATCTGTCGATTTATCATTTACCATATTTAAAATTTTTGCGATTTTGGCCACCTCGATGCATTTTTACCAAAAATAACTTTTTTTCAGCGCTTAATACGCTGAAGCTTCTAAAAAACGATGTAAAATTCTAGAAAATGGTCTATTTTGCGTTACATTACTATCTACAGTACGTGATTACCCAGGGTGACCCCCGCTAACAGTCCAGTACCAAAGTTGCTTAGTTTTTCTCGAAGCCCCTAAACTTACCAGGTCAATCAGCTCTCAATTGCCTGCTGGCAGCGTGGTAGTGAGGCTTCTTTAGTAGATACAAAATTGAAGCTAGACAAAGCCCAATACATAGCCCGCCCAGAAAATATAGCGCTCGAGATTCCGCACAGCAACGCATCCGGACGCTTACCAAAATTTGTGAGCCTCAAACTTACACGGAATCGCAGAATTTGAGGGCACATGGCCCTCGCAGTGGGACGCCAAAATTTTGGCCTCCATTGTATAAGCCTTTTTTTTCCAGTTTTTTGTACCTCAGATCAGCGCTAGACTTTGCACCGCTGCCCTACAATGGAGATTTTCACTTTTGCAGTTTTGAGTTTTCCAGCTCTAAAGGGTCCTCGAGGACCGTTCGGTTCTTGGCGTTATCGGGGGCCATCTTTTTCCGTTCAGATCCATTTTAAAAAAAATATAAATAGCTAAAACGTTTCTAAACTGTTTTTGCCACTCCAAAACTATACGTAAACTAAACGTACACGTTGTAAACTAAACGTTTTACGTAAACTAACGTAAACTATACAAAATTTTACACAATACAGCTTTTGCGACCAAGCTTTCTATCTAAAAATCTTTTGGAAAATTTTAGATAGCCTTTTCCAGTTGAACAAGAATAGATTGTACTAACAACTTGAAAGAACGCTTCCCTATTAATTTACTAGTCATTTCCAGACTAAAAAAACATTTATCCCCCGCCCCCGATAATACGAAAGAACCGTGGCATTTTACGTTTGTAATTTATTTTTTAATTTCTCAAGTGTCGTAAAAATCACAAAGTATTTACCACAACGAAAAGCACATAACATCCCCGGAGTCCGAAAATATATATCACAGTAAATAGAGAAGAGAGCTTCAGGGGTTATGTCGCTACGCAGGGGGGAAATTTCTACGCCTGGGGGACGGGACAGGCAGGCCTTTTTGGATGTTTTCGTTATTTTCTCGGAATTTTCGCAGCAGCATTCGATAGAGCTACGAAAATATACTAAAGGTTTTGTTTTAGCTAAAATTAGTGTAATACTAAAAAGAGTTATAGCAATTACAAAAGAAGCTTTGAAAATCGGTTTTGAGCGGCTGTTTTCGATATTCGCGATATTTTTCGACATTTTAAAGATCCCATTCGATAGAGCATTCAAAAATATACTAAAGAGTTTTATTTTAGCTCAAAATATGTAATATAAAATAGTTATAACAAAACCAAGTGTTAAACGTTGTTTTCATGGAGGATATAGAAGCAAATCAAATTTTGGACATTTTCGACATTATTACAAAATTTCTTTAGTGCCATTCGACAGAGCGTCCAAAGAATATACTAGGAGTTTTGTTTGTAGCAAAGAAACGCAAAAAACTAATGAATTAGCTCGGCTAACAGTCCGTCCCCCCGCGTAAAATTTCCCCCGCGTAGCCGACATATACCGCTTCAAGTAACGGCAGAGGAGAAAATGAAGTAAAGAAAAATCAGATCAGTCGATATATTCTGGTTTTACAGAAATACGATAAATACGCTCGATAAAAGCGATGGCAAAAAAAGTACAGCTTTACAAAAATTAACAACTACAAAAAAAAATGTGGAAAGAAACTACAGAAAAAGCAAAATATTACAAATTGACCGCCTCGACGCCGGCCTCATTGATGCGGAACGGCAGCTCATGATGCCGAACGCCCGTTGTTCACGTCGCCGCTGGGAACCTAAAAACAACTTTAGGATTTTAATAACGTTTCCCAGCTGATTGATAACATTCTAACGCACAAAATCGTACCCTAATCATGTCTCGAATCGTCCTCCTTTTTGCACAAAAACCAGCTGCCGCGCGAGATGCTGAGACCCATTGCTAAAAGAAGTTCCTGATTTACCAACTTCTCGGTTACCTGTCCCAAATGTGGCCGTGGAACATCGTCGTATGTGGTGATTCCGTTTACTGATATCACCACGGGGTTGCCCACAGTAGCGATTTCCTCGAGCAGCTCCCAGGACTTCAGTCACAATTGATCGACCTAGAAAAAAACCCATAAATTTAATTTTGAAAATTAAATAGCGGGGTACCGCTACAGTGACTTTGTATTGTAACGGAATTATGAAAGAGTTTTTAAAAGCTTCAAATTGAGGGCGTTTTCGCCATATTTTCACAGATTTTGGGCCAACAGCTCCTTTCAAAGACGATAGATTTCTCTAAACGTTTATATTTTTAAAAATACCGAAATATTTGGAAAGAAATAGAACCAATAAGCAAATAATAATACCATTTCTCAAGTCGCCGCACGTCGTCCCGTAGAGCGCATTATCGAACTGTCAATGATGAGAAGAGCCGGTTTGACGAGATCGGAGGTCCTCCTAAATCACGATCTATTCCGCCGAAATTTTTTATAACTGCAGTTATTTATAATAACGTCATAGTAGTTATTTTTTAATAAACTTTTTGGTAAAATTTCGTTATAATTAAAGTGGGAAAACCATTTGGAAAACATTAAAAATTGTCAAGTCTGGAAATTTTGATCGAATTCGAACTTTTCTGGTTTAAAAAAATCGATATTTTGGTATCTTAACCGACTTTTTGTTTTAACGTCTACGAATAGTAAACACAGCTCAAAATAAGTGCTCAGGATCCTAAGGAAAATTGGATTTTCTCCGGAACCCCAGAAACAGGATTAGAAAACTACCGAAATTTTCTCCAACGCCGTGATCAACGCTCGGGCTCCGTTTATCCGTGAGAAGGCTATTCGGGTGAGGGCGGAAGCGGGATTCTAAATACACTTAGAAATCTTCTAAAATGTTTTCTACCTGATACGCCCGATTCTCAAGAATTTGTATGAGCCTTGAGGGGTCGAAATGAGCCGTTCGTGTCAAGCCACCGCAGCGCTCGTTCGGCTGTTCGATCAACAGATTCGCGACGAGTGTGTAGAGGAACTAAAAAGTAAATTTTTGACCCTAATTTTTGTTACCTGCGTTTTCCCGGTACCCGTAAGGCCGGCAATCTCGAAGAGGCTGCCATTTTGGCTTTGTAGTGGGCCTAAAAAAGCAAACTTGCGGAAGAAACTGGAAAACGCACCTATCGCCACGTCCAAAGCCATACGCCTAGCCGTAGCCGGAACGTCTTGAAGCCGTATTCGTCGAGTATCTGCCTTCGCCACCCATCCATCCAACAAATACCTGAGCAAAATAAGTAATATTAGTAATAACGATTAATTGCCATTAGAAGTTCTGGTGCTTTAACGGGGAAGAAGGATTTTGCAGTCAAGAGCGAACTAGTTCCTTTCCGAGCGGGATTGCCCGAACCCAACGAAATATATTTTGATTTTTCAAGGAGGAGTTTGCAGCTCTTTTGCGTTACCGGAAGAGGAGAAGAACTGTTTAATTCACTGTGAGCTTTTGGTGAAAAAGATATGGAAACGCTCAAAAATTTCAAACCCTTACAATCCCTTGGTAAATTTTTTCATAACTTTTCCGTTTGTTAGAATACTAAAGCACCATAAAACCGATTGCAACTCGACGGTGAGGCAGAATACAAATTAGTTTTCCCCCTGCTAAAAATACCCCCTCCGCTAACGCACCAGCACCCCACAAATAGTAATAATCTCCGCTTCGCATAGAGTGTCACTTTTTCCTGACTTGTCCAAACGAGTTCGTACAGTAATTTATTTGTCACATCAGGAGCATCACGTGATGATGACGCTCCGTCAACAGGGCGGTAAAATGATCGGGGGTGAATAAGCCGGAATGAAATCAGAGGAGGCGGGTCATTCAGAAATTGTCAATAATTCGGGGGGATTGGGGTGTGAGAGAAAAAGATAGTAACGTACACAAAAATCATTGGGCACACAGCGAGTTAGGAAATCGGGGGTGCTAGTGACTGCAAAGACATGGATAATCATGGGGGAATCGGAATACAATTTTTAGTGGGATTTTGTTGGCTATGATTCCTGGAGAATCGGCACGATCAGATGCTCCTGGGCGATCAGCAGGTACCGCGTCACGTAGGTGGTGAACCTGTAAAAAAGTTATATATCAATGTAAAAAATCGTCTCTTTTTTTTCTTGTTAGGGGATCCAGTATTTCTAATAGAAGTCAAAGGCACTAGATCTTTGTATTTTTGTATTATTTCTTAGCGTAAAAACTACTATAAATATCAAAAACTCAAAATTTTTCCTAAAAATAAGAAAAGATTTTCCCCAAATATCAATTTTTAAACGTTTTTCCTACCGTTTTCTCGATAGTTTTCGCATGGAAATATATGAAGATCGTTTGAAAACACGCATAAAACATGACATCTCCTATTACTAGACGTATCTGGACTTTTTGACGAAAAATTAGGTCTGGGCCCCAAATCGAAATTCGCCAAAAGTTTCAAATAGAAAACTTGGAAATGTTCACAAAACCATTTTTTCCTCTTGAAATCTGAACCACTTTATAAAAACTAAGGCTAAAAATCTTTTCTGCGACCTCTTATAACTACCCTGAACAGATCCGAACCGATCCGAGCAGAAAAAATTACCCCCCGATACTGCAAAAGCACCAATTCCAAAACTCTAAAAGCCTCCATACCTTTTGCATAAAGCCGTCTCGGCCTCAAACTTCTCGAAAAGTTCCCGATGGTGAAAGTAGGCGTGAGAGAAAATGCGATAAACCCGTCGGCACACGGAGCCCAGTTTCGAAATCGATGATTCCTAAATTTTAGCAATCACTAAGCCGAAAATGTAGATATGCCTTGATGCTAACCCGGCTCGGGAAATATTTGCTGTTGTTGAGCAGCGTGGCCGCTCCGTCGAGGGTGTGCCGGGTGTAATCGATCGCGCAGCACTAAAATATAAATTTGCAAGAACCAGAAAATTGCAAAACCTCTTTCGGATTTTTGTGAGCCGCACACAAGAATATCCACTGTTCGGTGGCCGTCATTTGCAGGCAGACATCCGCCAGGCATTGGGCCTAAAAAAACATAAATTTAAGAAGAGTAAAAAATACTTGTAGACGGAGGGCGAGGCAGTTGAGTTGAAGGATAAATTGTCGTAGATGCTCGTATTTCCAGACACCTTCATCCATTTCTGAAAAAAAAAGAATTAAGACGCTTGGCCGAGAAGATTTCTTTTTATTTCGATGCGCAAGAGTTTATTTAGCGATTATAAGTGCTAACTTCTTGCTTTTTGTGAATTTTTAACTATTTCTTCACCTAAAGCGTTCTAAAACAGATTTTACAAACAGCAGATAGTCAGGATTGATCGAAATTTGATGATTGCTATCTAAAAACATTGAATGCGGCTAATAAATTCGATTTTTAAGAATCTAAAAGGATCCTCTTCTAATTAGCCTTTTGCGAAACCAAATACCTTGCAATAAACGTTTGGAAAAACGAAAACCTAGTAAGTTCAACACGCAGAAGCTATACGGGATTTGATATGCCTCAAATTCTGCTTAGTTCTTTTATACAGGAGCCTCCAGAAAAGCTTCCTAAAAAACCAACCAGGAAGCGGCGTCAAAATCACGTCCACGTCCAACGGGTTAATTTTGATGAGCTGCTGGATGTACTGCTGCACGTTCAGCGTGCTGTCCATATCCTCGTAGGCCAACGGCGGCCACGCGGACCATTGCTAAAAGAATAAAATATTAAAAGAAAAGATAAATTTACCGCTCTAGTGGTCCCCGGGTCGTTTCGGCGTACAATCGGCGCGGCGGCCTGGGCGGCCATTGCTAAATTGGAATATTTTCAGCTTATAATTGATTGGAAAACAAGGAAAGTGGAAAGACAACCGATGAGCCAAGCTATTCCCGGAAACACATTGAGGGCGCTACGAAGGCTACTAACAGCGCCGAGATAGTTAGAGCGTGAAGGAGGGCGCAGAGAGACGCAAGGCGCCAGCCGAGGCCAAAGAGGAGGGAAAGAGCGCAAAGAGAAAGAGAGCAAGAGAGCGGGAAGCGCTTTACAGTATTTCAGCACAATTGTGAGAGAAAAACGCACAGCACAATTGTACAAATTATATGAGAGAAACAAACGGATAAAAAAAACGTAGGAATACAACAAAAGCTTGAACGACCGTGGAGTATCAGATTCTAACATGCTTGAGTCAATAAATCATCATTAAATTCCTATATAAACAAAAAAAACTAAAATTTATTAAAGCAAAACGAATATTTTTGTTCTTTTAAAAATAAAACTTTGGGCGCGAAAAAATATTTTAGTCGCTACGGATTACACCAATTTCCCAAAAATCGTAAATCGTAGCGTTTCGGCAACCTGACGCGAGGTTTCGAATTTTTTCGCTAAACGCAAATATTCGCTTTTTGCACAAGAATTATCCTTTTCACGGCTTTCCATGGAAAACAATTCTAAATTCATAACAAGACTTCAAACCTTAAAGTTGTCAAAAAGAGGGTCAAGGGGCCCTTGCTGACAAGGTTCGGGAAACATTTCCTATAGCCATTTGCACGATTTTGACGCCGCAGGGCACAATCGGGCAAACTTCCGTTTCTTAGTCAGGCCAAGTTGACCGTTGGTGCGCTAACAGTAGCGCTTTAAACGCCACATCTGGGTCGATTATGTCCCGAGGCATCAAAAATAGAGGAACACAAAACAATCTGCAGTGCAGCCCTGGCCCCAATCACTTCGACACGTGCCGCCTTAGTCACCTAAAATTTAATATTTTTGGCATCTAAAAAGTCTTGAAAATCATACCTTGGTTACGGATACGTTCGTCCCAATGTCCCGAAATCACGCGGTATAGGGTTTCCGAAGCCTTGCGCAAGGTTTCGAATCTTTTTGCTAAACGCAGATAAGGCTTCTTCCGCAAGAATTGTCGGTACTATTCAAGTTGGGGGCAAAAATTTTTTAGGTCATTTTTAGGCTACTCGATCAGTTTTTCGTGGCTAATCCAGCGCAATACTCAACTCCTAAGCTAAGCTAAGCCGAAGCACAGTTAAATTGAGCTTGAACAAAGCTAAGTCCAGCCAAAAGCAGTGATGTTGTGACGAAGCCAAGCTAAGGACCAGGTACTAAGGCTTAGGCTAAGCATAGGCCTAAGCCTAGGTTAAACTAGTTCTAAGCCTAGCCTAAGTTAAGCTTAAGCCTAAGCTAAAGCCGAAGCCAAGCCAATACTAAGCTAAGCTAAGCCTAAGCCAGAGAAAAACTGACCAATTAGCCCAAAAATGACCCCAAAAAAATTTTGCCCCCCCCCAACTTGAATAGTACCGAATTGTCCTTTTCCGCTTTTCCAGTTTTATGTTCTCAGCAAAATTATCAATGATTTTAGACTTTCACCTGCTACGGATTCAAGTGAAGATGTCCTCATCGCAAACTGCCTCCACCGGTAATTATTGCGAAGAAATGCTTTCCATTTTTTTTTTGTTTCAGACCCGAACGACTTCTTCGAGCCGATCGACATGGACACCATCGCCACCTCCGTCCAGTGCATCCCGGTCACTCTCGCGGTTTGACAGAGCTCTATTTTGGAGATCTGTTTTAGGCGTGGAAAGAGCTTGACCAGAAGCGTGCCGGCGCTCGCCGTTTTGGCCCCGCCCAGCTGCACACCATCTTCAACACCGTCACCCGAGGTTGGAAAGGGGTTTTTGGCTTCTTTGGCATTCCCGGAAGTGCGGTCGTAGTCTAGTGTTTCTAATATGTAGAACAAAAAAGTAGGTGAATTCCACATTCATTTGAATTTCTTTTCCCTTATAAATCCAGATCAGTGTGCGAAAGAATTGGTTCTTTAGGATTCCCGGGGGGGGAAAGTATTCCCGGGAAACCAATTTTTTTCCTGGTGGTCCCGGTTGACCTAGTAATCAAATATAAAGTGTTTTCGAATTGTTTTAGTAAGTTTTAACTATATTTAAAGCAGAATAACTTTCAGAAAAATTTAGAAAAATGTTTGAAAAAGTCGAAAATTTGGTCATTTTGGGTCTATTTTTCGACCTAATTTTTAATTTTTTACATTTTTTTGGTTAAAATGTGTGTAGTTTTTATGCACAGGGATAGTTAAAAACAATTTAGAAACGCATCCGCAATTTATACAAAAATCTAGGCTTTCGCCGAAAAATTTGTTTTCCCCCCCCGGGAATACTTTCCCCCCCCGGGAATCCTAAAGAACCAAAGAATTTTCAGGTGGCCAAATGGACCAGCGCCGGGGGTTGGCTGACAGGGGTTAGGACCGGCGCCGCGTTAGCGGCAAGAATTGTTGTGGCTTTTTGGGTCAATATCCAAAAAAAAATAGCGAAAATAAATGTCGGCTTCCTGGATTTTCTGTAATTTAATGTTGTTGCGCTGCTTACAGTTCTTTCTTCTTTCACAGTACGAAAAATTGCGCATGAAAATTTGGGCAGAAATCGACACAGGAAAGAAGTTTGCAATGCCACGACGGCCTCAGAAGAGACGGCGCTGGTCCCGAAAAAGCCCTTCAAAAAAGTCGGATGAAGCTGAAACTTGGATGAGGGGAAGAGAAAACTGGGAACTCGTTTAGGGAAAAAATTTGGGATGGATCGGCCAGTGGAGTAGAGGGTAGCATGCAATTGAATGGATTTTTCCCATATAAAACGGCAAAAACCGCCGCGTCCAATTAAGCGCCGGTCCATAACTCAGCGATAACGTAATGGATCAGAACGGTTGATACGTAGTTAGAAAGAGGAAACACCGGGCTTTCAGCCGACTAGAAGTTCTAAGTGGGAAAATTGAGACGGAGGGCGCAAAAAGGAAAAAACGGAACATCTACCGATCCCACGGCCAATTAAGGCGACCAGTCGCTGGTCGATAGCTACAGGCGGAAGCAAGTATGGGCTAAAATGGTTTTGTCAGATGATAGCCAGTACCAGAGGCTATTCGGCAAGCAAGTTTGGTGGTGATTGATTGCCCTTTCGGGGACCAACGGGGACCAGAAGTGGGGGCGCGGCCAAATGAGCTGATTCCGGAGGTGAAGCGGCGCTGGTCCGGAAAAAGGGTTTTAAACTGGAAGCATGCTTTTGCTTTTTTGGCAGTAGTTGGGCAGACCCTAGACCTAGCCTGACAACAAATTTCAAACCGCTAGCGCCAAGGACGGGGTAGTTAGAGCATTTTCAAGGGATTCACCAGCGTGCACCGGGATGGGGGCCGATAAAAATTATTTCTCCGCATTCCACTGGCCGATCTTGACCAAATTTTACCCAAACCTTGATCGGGGAAATGTATAATGCTCATCTAATTGCCAGCTTGGTCCAAGCCGTTCACCCGTAACGAGCGTTGTCACATCCATACCCACCATGACCGATCATACTTTACTCCTTTGCCGACTTCTGCCGAAATTTTCGTGCATGATTTTTCTTGGTGTCGTATCGTTACTATGATTTAAATGGTGGAATTTTTTAGAAATAGTTATTCAGAACCCCTTACCTCGCAGATAACATATATCGATAATACTATATTTTTTTTGCCATCATGGCGCCGTAGGCGCCGAAAAATCGCGATTTAACTAACCCTAGGACCAGCGCCTAGGGCCATTTTTGGGACCAGCGCCGGCCGCCCCACGGCCAAACCCTTCGCACACTGATCCAGATCTTCCTTGTCACTTAATAGTGGATGTTTCGTAGTGTTTTAGCAACATCTAACTAATTTGGTTAGGATTTTGCAGGCGTGGAAAATGATAAAAACTATTTTTGACGAGAAATCGAAATTTTTTTATTGTTGGTTTCGGTTTACGGTTAGATATAAAATAGCCTGAAAACACTTTTCTTTTTGTTATTTTAAGATTGGATATTTTAAAAAATTGATTTTTTTGTTCCCCTCAATAATCATTTTTTCAGCACTTCCGGCAGGCGAAAATCCGATCGGCCGCGGCCGCGGCCGCCCCTCGAAGCGCCTCCCGGACGTGGTAAACTACGATTTGACGGCTGGAAATTCCTTATTTCAGTCGCTCGACAAGCCCACTCCTCCTCGACAGAAGCGTGCCAAGAAGAGCGTCGAGCGTGGCGCCGGAGATGCTCCCGCCGTCGTCGTCGAGCCGTGCAACAACAACAACAATGAAGCCGCGGTTGTCGACGACCAAGAGATCGGCCCGAACACCACCGTCATCCCGGAGCACGACAATAATCCCGGCAACAACAACTCGCAGGTATGTTTTACAAGTGCCGAAGTCTAAAAGATTTTTTTTTGTATTTTTTGTTAGTTATTCCTAAAAACAGTAAACCGACCAATTTTCATCATAAATTATAAAATATCAGCGTTTTCGACCGTTTTAAGATTTTAAAACATTTTTAAAGTTTTATAAATACTTTTTTTCGGCTTGAATTTTGGCTAAATTTTACTAGAATGACTTTTAAAAGACTTGTTATGGATTTAGTGTGTATAACTCGACGTGCAGGAAAAAAAAAATCGGTTTTCCCGGCGCTGTCCCCCTGGAAATGCCAAAGAACTCAAATGATTTTTATGACATTTTTTCAGCCGGACGCTCCGGACACCAATGACGGCGTGCACGTCGGAGATGTTGCGCCGTCGGCTGCTCTCGCCGATGTTCAAGGCTCGGATGTGCCGATACCGTCCAACGGAGAGCCGGAGGCCGAAAACGTGGAGCTGCCGTCCGCCACAGTTGAAGATGTTCAAGGCTCGGAGGACGCTCTCGAGAACGTCGTGGCCGCGGATCTGCCCGCCCCATCCAATGAAGCCTCTGAGGGCCCGGATGCCGAGCTGCCCGCTGCCACTGTCGACGATGCTCTAGGTAGAGTTGAACTCGGAAAGCTTGGAGCTTTCGTAGTATCGGGGGACCTAGTTTTTTGCTCGGGCTGCAATAGTTTTTACTTTTTGTAAGCATAGTTATGTTATAAATTTTGCGAAAAAAATGAGAATCTAGGTTTTTCCATCAAAAAGTAATTCCAAATGAAATTCGCTAATTTTGTAGGAATTTTTCGTTTTAAGTATAGTTAAATTTTACTAAAAACACGTTTAGATGACTTACTATTACGTTACTATATATTTCCGGACTTTGAGGAAGGAAAAATCGGTTAAAAATTTCGATTTTTCGACTTTTTGGTCAAAAATGAATACAACATGGCGAAAAGGTCAAAAGTAGCTATTTTTTACAAGAACTTTCATTCCAGGCTGGGATGCGATCCCGGCATCCAGCGAGGACGACGGCTTCGGCGCGAACATCGAGCTTCCACCGTCCACCACTGACAAAGAGAACACGCAGCCGCCGCCGTCGGCCGTCTTCGAACAGCACATGCTCACCGACGCCGAGGGCAACCCGCTGATTTCGTGCCCCTTCCAGCCGGGCTACGTCCCCATCGTTTAATTTGTTTTCTTTCTGCCTATTTGTTTACTATGGCAGTTTTTTTATTTTGATGTATAGCGCCTATTGTTGTTCCATATTGCTTCGTTGATGTATAACTGGTTTGTTGTTTGGAGAAATAAAATGAAAAAAATGACCATGAGAGTAACCGGAAGTCTAAATATTGGGGTCAATGGCTTTCGCGCTATTTTACCAGCAGTTCAGAAATGTCTAGGGAATCAAAAAGAAGTATTTTAATAGCGTTTTTTGTACAGTTGAACTAGTTTTGATGTGGAAACTATCTGAAAAAATTGAGAAATTTTGGTAGAAACATGCATTTTTTGCCCAAAAAGCTTATTTTTTGTAGTTTAATCAAATTTGTAAAGTTTCTATGGTTAGGCAGAGTAAAAAGCTTTTTCGAGTTAACAAGCGTAGTTTCCGAAGCTTGAGCACGGACTAAGTTGGATTTGAATCCAGAATTGGCTCAACTTCCGGAAGCTCCCGTCCGCTCGGCGCGCGCCTTGGAATGAAAGCCACTTCTCCAGCTTCTCCTTCCAGCTCGGTTGGTTTTTTTGGCGAGCCATTGGAAGTCCCGGTTCTGGCTTTCACATTCCAATTTCAACATTCAATTATCGTTTTTGTCAGGCCCAACATGAGCGGCAAGAGGACCGGCAAGTCGAAGTCGCCGTCGACGCCGTCGACGCCGCGGGACGAGGAAGTCAGTCTGGAGGAGAAGAGCTGGTACCACGGGATGCGGCCGCGCAAGGAGTGCGAGTGCGCTTTTGGCGATTTCTTACGGCTTTCGTAATGGTTAAGACTTATAAATAACCTCAAACCGGAAGAGCAAAAAATTGAACATTTATAATTTTGACGAGCGTTTTACACCCAGAATTAGTCTTGGACTCTTACCATTATCTCTTTCCAGGGCGCTGCTGACCGAGCTGGGCGACTGGCTGGTTCGCGCCACCGACAACGACAAGGAAGGGCACCTCTCCGTCGTGCTGTCTGTGCACACCGAGAAGGGCCATCGCCACCTCACACTTTCGTAGGATTTTAAGGCTTTTTTTGGATTAATGCATTGTCTAGGAAAGACGCGAATGGCCGCTTCACGCTGCAGCTCATCAGCAAAAAGACTGCCCCTTCATTCGCCACCGTCGCCGGATTGATTGAGCACTATCATGTTTGTGAATTTGTGCTTGTCACCCCGAAACCTCCATGTTTTTTTAGAAAAAGGGTGGCATCGGCGCCATCAAAATGGGCCACGCAAAGAATCGACCGAACTGGCTGATCAAGCACGAGCAAGTCAACTTTGATGAGAACAAGGTAGCGTTTTGGTATCTTGGAATGTAAACTGGGACAAATTTGTTACATAACTTTCACACTTCCTAAAACTCCTAAAATCCTTTAACAGACTGCAAAACTAGGCTTTTTAATTAAAAATATAGAAAATTACGGTTTTTGGAGAGGGGTCGCCGTTTTGGGCTAGAATTTTGGGCTAAATTCAAGTATACGGTCACCTAGCCAAACCCAAACTTTTTATATATAGAAATGCTCAGCTCGACGAGCTGGTTCAGGATCAGTTGAAAAAACAATTGGGAAACACTTTTGGAGCGAGATATAGGCGTCCAAAGTTTGAACACCAAAAGGGCCAAAAAAGGCCCATTTCCTTTGGATATTTCGCTTTAATACACTCAAACTTGACCTAAAAATAAGGCTTCGTGCCACCCGGGGCCTAGTCGCTTCGGATGGGCGCGAGCTCGTACAGGGTTTCGAAATGGGGGCGCCAAGGCCGGCGAAGCGGCCGGGGCGCCCCCATTTCGGAAGAGTGGAGCGGCAGCCCATCCGAAGCGACGGCCCACCTTGCCTGACAATGTGAAAAGCCTCACCGTTACCTTTATTTTACATTAGTAGCGTTAAAAACGCCTAAAAATTACAAACATGCATTATTGCAGAGGTACGTACGAATACAGACTACACCGCTCCGTACAAAGGAGTGTCGCGTAGCCGGAACTTTCCGAAAATTGAGTTTCAAACCTTCATAACTTTCTTTATACATTTTTCCCAACGATTCTTTGAACAGATATCGGCTCTGCTCGACGAGCTGCACATTTCTATGCATAAAACAAGCCTGTTTGGATAGGTGACCGTATACCTAACTAGCTAAATTTGGACCCCTATATCTCGCTCCAGAAGTGTTTCCCAATAGTTTTTTCAACTTATTCTGAACCAGCTCGTCGAGCTGAACATTTCTATATATAAATAAGTTGGGTTTGGCTAGGTGACCGTATACTTAAATTTTCCCGAATTTTGTATTTTCTAACGTTTTACTTTGTTTTCTAGTCAGTTTTGGTATTTGCAAAATAGCCACATCTTCAAAGCTATAAATACTCCGTGAAAAATCATCAAATCATCAAGAAACGGCCAAATTTAGAAAAATAAAACGTATGCTAAAAAGATTGTTTCTCTTAGGATCGACTCGGCGCCGGGAACTACTGCGTCGTCTACAAGGGCACCTACAAGGTGGACGGGCGTACAGTGCCCGTTGCCGTCAAGGTCCTGAGATTTTTCGATAGTTAAGAATCTTTTTTTTTAGGTGTGCCTGCCGCTGGCCGAGCAGCGCACCCCCGAGCAGATCACCAACGAGCGGTTGAGCATGCTGCGCGAGGCCGAGCTCCTCTCCTCCTACTCGCATCTCAACGTCATCCGTGTACGTTTTTGCCACAATCCGATACCTAAACTTGCAAAAACATATATAGAATTTTATAAATACTCATTTTCGACTTTTTTTTGATAATTTTTGACTAAAAAACTAAAAAAAGCGTTTTTTTTCAGCTGTACGGCGTGGCGGCCGACTCGCCACCGGTGAAGATTGTGCTGGAGTACTGCCCGGCCGGCAGCCTGGACCGGCATCTCCAGGAGCACAAGAGCCGTATCGAGCCGGCCGAGCGCGTCCTCTACATGCTTGATGTGAGGCATTGGGTCGAATTTTCGAAAAAGAACACCGTACTGGGCTGTTAGCGGGGGGGGGGGACTTCTCCTCGTAAACCCGTACGATCTATTCTTACGTACGAAATATTTTCCCCAGAGATTTAGGCTGTTTTTGGATCAGAAAAGCACATAAAAATCTCCAAATATCAAATTCCAATAAAAATTCCAAGTTTCACCTTTCAATAAAAAAAGGATGGAAATTACCAGAAATTTATTTTCACATTTTTTAAAAGCCCTTTTGTGACACTTTCTTGCAAATAAAAACTACTAAAAACTGAATAAAAATTTTATACCAGGTGTATAGCCATCGTGAAGAAAAATAAAAATTAGCGTTTCCCGTTACCCCCCCGCCCGCCAAACGACAAGCACCTGACGCTGTAAAAGCTAGAAATTATTGCTTTACAATTTACGGATTTGCGACACTGGTATTTTTAAAAATTTTTAACGTGATTTGAGGGCGTAAAAAAGTAATAAGGGTCGTAATTTCAGCCGAAAACAATCTAAAGCATAATATGGCAAAAATAAGCACAATCCGGGAAGCATTTGAAACGCTAGTTTAGTTTAGAGGTGCTATAAATTTTATTATATGTAAAACGCTGTAAAAAAAACTCGAAATTATAGGCGGCCGACGGGATGCGCTACCTCCATAAACAGGGCTGCATTCATCGTGACATTGCCTCGCGTAACTGCCTGATCGGGCTGACCGGATGGATCAAGATTGCCGACTTTGGCCTGTCGAAGATGATCGGCCGCAAGCTCGACAAGGAGGAAGAGGAGACTGAGGCCCAACTCGGGTTGCCCCTCCGGTCAGTTTTTTTATAAAAAAATAACCTTACACGAAATCGTTGTAACGGGTACCATTTATATCGGTTTTATACGTTTTTTAAAGATGGAAAGTAAATAAAAATTCCTAAAATCTTTAAAAATTGGATTTTTGAGGGATATTTGAGAAAAATGTGATAAAATGCCAGAGAAATAGATGGAAAGCGGATAAAAAATTCGACGTAGGCTAGGTGTCGCCTCCCCCCCCCCCGCTAACAGTACAGCACCCGAAAAGGTACAAAAAAATTCTAAAATGGAGAAAATTCAATTTTTCACGATTTTTGTCTTTTTTTGGGATGAGACGAAAAATTTGGTTTTCCGCCCGGAAACCCCCTCCCCCCCGCTAAGTGACTAGAACCTTCTTTTTCAGCTGGATGGCCCCGGAATGCCTTCAGAAGAAGCGCGAGTTCTCCAAGAAGTCGGACGTGTGGAGCATGGGCGTGGTGAGTTTCTAGTTCGTTTCCTGATCTACAGTGTTTTGTAGATGATTTGGGAGACGTTCAACGAGGGCGCAAAGCCGTGGCCCGACTGGGAGGCTAAGAAGATTGCCACCTACATCCGAAAGGGCAAAATGCCCGAGTTCCCCTCCGGCACCCCGGCCCATCTCAAGGACTACGTCGAGAAGCACGTCTGGTTCGTTTTTCTCGGGTGCTTGTGCCTTATCGGGGAGGGGTGCTAGCGTGTTTAACCCAAACAGGTTTTCGACAAGTTTTTTTTATTTTAACATTTTTTAACTATTTTAGACGGTAAAAACCTAACAACAAATTAAAACAAACTCCGCACTTTCAGGTCGGTCAACCTGGACACGCGCACCGACATGGAGGGCGTGTGGAAGAACCTCGACGAGACACGCGCCTCGGTCGGCAACCCGAAGAACTCGGTGATTGAGCGCGAGCAGCGGTCGCGCTCCCCGCACCAGGTCCCCAGCGCCACCGTCAGTTGTTTTGGCTCAGATGTCAATGTGGCATAGGTTTGTTTTGGGCGCCACTTCCGGCGCCTGAACTAGGCAAAATACAAAAACTTAAAATGCGGTTTCGATAGCTAATTCGGGACATTATTTTGAAAAGTCGGTACTTTTGCATTATTGGGGGGAGGGGCAGGTGTTAATCGGGTGGATCCAAGAGGATTTTTTTTGTGTCGGTTATCTAAGCCCAGAAATGGCTAGTAACTATTTTAATAGTGGTTTTAATAAAAATTGGCCATATTTATAGTATTTTGTTACATTTCTGATGGAAAGAAAAATATTTTTGGATTTTTAATAACTTTAACAGTTTTTACATTTTTACAGCTGTTTGGAAATTTTACCTCTATTTATAGTAGAAAAATTGGGGCCTTAGAAAAAAGTTGTTCCCCCGATAAGAGTAAAGAACCCTTAAAATGTAAGGTCTTTGTTAAATTTATAGTCGCCTTTAATTTTAAAAATTTTGGCTTTGAAAGCCGATACAATTTCCCTTGTTTCAGTCGGTGAGCGCCGAGGCCCCGTGAACGATCAACGCGCCCCACTTCCGCTACCGCCATCGTCTCTCCGGCCACGCCATCTTCAGCCACCACCTTTTGCCCCTTCCCTTCCTTTCTGCATTCACATTAACCCTCTGAATACGTCAAGTGTATTCCAAATATTGAAACGTCCTTGAACTGCCTGTTTTTTGTGGGAATAAAAACGCGTTTATGGTGAATCGATTGTTTGTGTAGATTGTTTATTTTTATTTGGGCGTTTCGAGGCGATTGGTCGTCTTGATTTTGCTGTTTTCAAGATACGCGCCAATTTTAAAGCGTTAATTATTTATTCGTCGTTTTAATGCCAAAAACTTCATTTCGGCGGTATTTTCGGCAACTCTTTCTGGAAAAGCCGGTAGTCGTGGTAGTTTATGGCCAACACGTAGCCAAGCGTCGTCCGATTCTTCAACACCTCCTCCCGCCACATGTCGTATTTGTGGACCTTCTTGTCAGCCGCCCGCTCCTCGTTGGTGTTCGACGTCAGCAGCCGGTTCAGCGCCTGGACAATGGAGTTAATGCCGATTTTTGGCCCATATGTTGAAAGTTCGTCGATACAAATAGAAAAGTCTCCTTGCGGCTTGCGGCAACCTACCGCATCAATGTCCTCCGGCGGCATTCCGGTCCAATCGAGCACGGGCCTCAACCTTTCCACCAGCTCACCGGAATCCTGGGTGTATTCGACGCGCTGGAATCGGCCCGGCTGCTCCCCGATATCGCAATGCCTGAATAAAAGTAGAGTTTGATCTTTTTTTGCGCTTTTCGAAGGCATTTTCAAAGCGTAATCTATTGCCGAAAGGTGACCACAATCACCCATGGGCTCGGTCCGCGTGTACGGCGCGTTGCGTTTTTACGTTTTTTTACGCGACGCGTTTTTGAATTATGGACACCATCCCGAAAAGACACCATCCCGAACGACACGATCCCGAAAGATACCATCGAAAGAGACACCATCCCGAAACACTATCCCCGAAAGACACCATCCCGAAAGACACTGATCCCGAAAAGACACCATCCCGAAAGACATGATCCCGAAAAGACACCATCCCGAAAAGACACCATCCCGAAAGACACCATACGGAAAAATGCAATGATTGGCCGGACGTAGAAAACGAGCTATTTTCCTATGCAAATGAGCCAGTACCCTTAATCTGCATGTGAAAAGCACATTTGCATAGCGAATTGCACGTTTTTTCTACGTTCGGAATGTTACTGCATTTTTCGGGATAGTGTCTTTCGGGATGGTGTCTTTTCGGGATGGTGTCTTTTCGGGATGGTGTCTTTTCGGGATAGTGTCTTTCGGGATGGTGTCTTTTCGGGATAGTGTCTTTCGGGATGGTGTCTTTTCGGGATAGTGTCTTTCGGGATGGTGTCTTTTCGGGATAGTGTCTTTCGGGATCGTGTCTTTTCGGGATGGTGTCTTTTCGGGATGGTGTCTTTCGGGATGGTGTCTTTTCGGGATCGTGTCCGTATACCCGTTTTTTACACGGGGCGAGAAATGCAGCAGGTTTTTAGCTGCGCCAGTTTTTACTGGACCTTTTACAGCTGCTCGGATGCTCCTAATTAAAAGTTGCCCTAGTTTTCGCATTTTTATCAATACTTTTACAGGTATTTCCATAGCGTAAGCTATTTTAGGGTCTTACCAAGACTGCGGCGTAATGTGATGCCGAAAATTCGAAACGTTTGATGCGCCCTTCGGCAGTTGGCCATATTGGAGGTAATTGTAGAAGCCCTTCGCCGCCGTGTGCAAAGATTCGCCCGCTTCACCGCATTCGCCGTGTTTTCTGAATGACGTTTTCATGTGTCGCATTTTAAGGTATGTCCCTATGTTTTTTTTAGAACATACTTGCAGATATATCCATATTGCGAGATAAACCTGTCGACCGGGTCTCGCCAGATGAAGAACAGCTTGTTTTTCGGGGAATTCCATCCTAGGAGTTGGCCGGCCTGAACGAGTCCCTGGCTGCGCATGCAGAATGGACTAAAAATCAACCGATGCGGTAGAGAAATTTTATTCGATGGTTTTTTTACTTTATATAAGTTTTTGGAATTTGAAAACATGGCATCCCGTTTTTTGATTAAATTACGAATAAAATGGGCGTATAAATTGCTAACAAAAATTTTCTTCTTAAGTTCTGAATGATTAATGAATATCCATTTGAAATAAACTAAAACTATTGCCTAAATAGTTATAAAATAAGAACTTACCGGCTATTCTCCACATCGTCATTGACCTCTGGGGTGATTTCGACACCCTCGTCGCGCAAAATCAGCTCGCACATTATCTGAAGCGCAATTTTCCTAGTTTTAGTTTTCATAAAAACTTTATTTAGTTTATATTTTATTTATCAAGCTCTAAAACGCTACGCTACGCTCCACCCACCCTTCTCATCTGCGTTGACCCGCATTTTGGCGTTGACATGTAGACGAGGTGGCCGAGTTTCTGGAAAATTCGATATGTTTCGAGTATAATTCGGTATTTTGAAGAATTTTTTGGGTCCAGCTGGGCGCGCTAGAATCCTGCCATCCGATTTCGTATAAAATTAAAATCTAACTCCTTACCACTCTATAACAGCTGAGCTCCTTTCTGATGGGCAGCGGCGGGATGAGCTTGACGCCATATTCTGTCTCCACTTCGAACGTGATGTGCTGAAATTGGATGATGGCTTTGTGGGCTATGCGTTGATGAGCTCGAGCTTTAAAGCGAGCTATCAACTTTGCAAGTTACTGGCGTCGGCTTATCCCAAGGCTATCAAGATTGAGCGGGACCTTCAAATTTATCTTATCGGGACGAGCTTGAGAGCCTTGAGCTTGGCCTAGAGTTTCAACAGCTTGGGCTCAAACTTCAACCAAATAAATTAGTTTCAACGGTGTGTTTTGCCCTTTTCATTGTTGTTCCCGCTTGAACGGCTTGAACTCGGGGCAGACCTCATAAGCTTGAGCTACGAAGTTCGGAAATTAGCCAAATTCTAGCAGCTTGGGCTTCGGCTTGAGCCACTTAAAGCAACGGTAAAAATTTTATCAGCAGAATAAAATTAAGCCTGGACTGCTTGAACTCGAGGGCAAAAATGAACAGGTTCGAAGAGACTAGATCGAAAAATTTGAGCGTGAGTTAGCACCAGCTAAAGCTCAAGCTCACCTTCAAGCTTCTGCGACTCAAAACCCAAACTCACCTCGGAATTCCGGCTCGACACCAACGGGAAGCGGTGCGGCGAAATTTTCGGCGGCCTCCAAGCCGCGGTTACGGTAGACAGCAATAAATATAACCACAAGGCAGGCCGCCACATTATATGCCCAAGTTCCACCAAATAATATAAGTTCTCCCAGGTGAGGCTCCAAGGAAATGTACCGATTTCCCGGTCGCTTCCTCGCGTCGATCGCCCGGTTTTTTGAGACGTGCTCCTCCTTCCCCTTCCCCCTACGGCAATTTGCATCTTGCCCGCCCGATCGCACATTTGTCAATCAAAAATTGGGTGCGGGCGGTGAGGACGTACGGGCTGAGGGGGGGGGGCATCGCTGGCTCGTAGCTAGAGGCTTTTCCCTTTCACAAATGTTTCTCCATGGGCAGATTGCAGGCGGTTAATGCGGGAGATACACAATAGCATATCGGCGAATTGGGTGCATCGACCTTTGTTTGGACCTTTTGCAATATCGGGGGTGATTTTTTACGATGACGTGTAAGCCCTGGTGATGTAATAGTTAGTGTTGTGAGCGCGTAAACTTAACCGTGGCTTAGGGTTGGCTTAGGGTTGGCTTAGGGTTGGCTTAGGCTTGGCTTAGGCTTGGCTTAGGCTTGGCTTAGGCTTGGCTTTGGCTTGGCTTTGGCTTGGCTTAGTCTTGGCTTAGGCTTGGCCGAGGCTTGGCTTAGGCTTGGCTTAGGCTTGGCTTAGGCTTGGCTTAGGCTTGGCTTAGGCTTGGCCTAGGCTTGGCTTAGGCTTAGGCTTGGCTTAGGCTTGGCTTAGGCTTGGCTTTCGCTTTTTGAGAAGAAAGTTCCTCTCCTTCTTTTTGTTCCCAGAAAAATGTAAAATATCAAT